CCAATGGTCATCATGCATTAAACATCACATATCGTCAGGATGGACATATATCACACTGGCAGTATGGTGAAATCAGAGAACAGAGGATATACAATGATGCTGGACTTCTACAGGAGAGGTTGTCCTCATCAGGAGCTCCATATACCTTTAGATACAGATATGGGCGTAGGGTTAGTATACTCATATTTTCCTCACTATACATATGGGTATGAATTTTGTAAGGACATATATGACAATTATTTTTTAATGTTATTGGCACCATTTTTGTCAGGATACATGAAATTCTCTTTATTTACGCAATCAAATTATCAAGACTAAAAGTTTGGGAAAATACCATTCAAAGGATTATTTTATTAGCAATCAGCAAAACGAACCAGCTATACAATATATTATACTTAAAGAAAAAGACACCTTCTAGAAAAAAAACTTATGAAGTCCCAAATCGTACCAGCCATACAAAGAAAAATACACCTACTAGAAAAAAAAACTCATGAAATCCTAAGGTTGGAATGAGATTAAGTTAAATTCCAATGTTATGTATGACAATGTGTACCTAAAATAAATTGAACCAATATCAATGGACACAACAAGATTCTAGAATAACTTTTGTTAGTTATACTCAAGACCAAAAGTCTAATAAGCACAATACATTCAACATTTACAAAAAAAAGCAAGAAGTGACAAAAACAAAACATCATTAACTTTCTATGGTCAACTTTTCTTCAAGGTGTTTAAGCTCTAGTTGAAATACAAGTGCACTATCTATGAACTGAAAATAAATAATCTATATGTCTCATTGTTAATTCTGGGAGGATGGTATTCCCTTTACAGACAGTCTACCAGCAGGTACTAATACTTTAAGGGCAAAAGTAATTTCTAATAACTATTTTTCATATAATCCTCAACCAAGAGATGCATAAACACATAATTGCTACCATGATAATAGGTAACAGGTTCTACTTTCTTTATTAACAGCCAACGGACATACTAATGCCCAGTGGTCTGCAGTACTACCTAGAATATGATAACCAAGGCAATCTCAAGTTCTTACGTACACCAGGTCTTGGCAAACATTACTTCAACCAGATCACATCCATTGGAGTTCAGAGATATCTGTATCATATTCCAGAACTGGAGAATCCATACATCGAGGAGTATGATGCTAACGGTAAACTTCTCCAAGTACTGTTTCCCAGCGAACAGAGGAAAGTGGTCTATAAGTACAATATGTATGCCCAGCCGGAACACGTCTACTTTGATGGAACCGATATTCATTTTGTCTATGATGACAATATATCAAGGTTAAAAACAGCAGAAATAAAATGGAATTCTTACAATGCTATGGAACGCTTTGAATATGCTGGAACGCTATTCAGTCAGTATGGTATTGACTTTGCAATGGACCGTAGTCTGAGTGCTGTTAGTACATACGCATATGATAATAATTTTAGACTGACTGAAATAAGGACGCGATTTGGTAAAAACTTTACTACCACTTGTAATATGGCTTACGACACTGATACAGGAAGATTGAAATCCCTCAAATCATTTAAATTTGATTGGCCCCTTGTTGATTCAGAAAGAATCAGTGACAGTCACATGACCATTACATCTGAATATGATAATTATAATCGTCTCCAAGCGATGAAGTATAAGTTTAGTGAGAAAGAGGCTCTGGAATTTAGCGTTGGATATGATACTATGAATAGAATACATCACTGGAGTATGAGACTGCAGGAAGGCATGTCGAGTGATTACCAATATGTCTATGATATCAATGGAAATGTTGTTGATATTCTATTGGATGGGCAGTCCACATGGAGATATCGCTATGACAACAATGGAAACATCAATAAAATATCTGAGAGAGAAACTTACAGAATTTTGGAATATGATGTTGGTGATCGACTGAAGAAATCTGGACCATACCAATACAAATATGACAAAGATGGTTTCTTGATTCAACGACATAATCAACAAATTACATTTAACTCCAATGGACAGTTTATTGGAATATCCCAGAGATCTACATTTAGGAGGATGTACATCTATGATACCCAAGGTAGACTGATCATGGAGGATAATAACTTTGGTGGCATTCTCCAGTTTTTCTACATGAACATTGAAAAACCATTGCTGATTACTCACTCTTACAACCACACTACAAGTGAACTATCACAATATTTATACCATCCTAACGGTAAACTGATAGGAATGGAACGGAATAACATCTTCTATTATGTAGCAACTGACCCCATGGGATCCCCTCTTGCCATTTTTAACAAAGATGGTGGTATCGTAAAGAAAATGAGTTACGACCCTCTTGGCAAACTAGAGTCTGATTCCAGTCCAGGATTCCAGTTTGTGTTTGGTTTCCAAGGAGGTATATACAGCCCTGTGACTGAGCTTGTGATATTAAACAGTCGTGTGTATGACACTGCTACAGGACATTGGATCTCACCAGGGTATAGCCAAGTACTGAAGAACTTGAGAGACATTCCAGAAAATCCTTTGTTGACTAATAACTACAGGTTTATGGATCTTATAAATGTACATGTTCAGAGGAAAAACCTTCCAATTACATGTAAGTCATGTATTTAGTTTTTAGAGAGACAGCATACAAGATTAATATATATGCCTTTTATGGTATAGCAAAATAAAAAGGACTTTAAAATTACATTCAAATGATATATATACAATTTAATTATCAAATTTGGAAATATTTTAACAATTCTTAGCTGGTTTTATACTGTCTATGATTATTTGTTTTATAATAAATGCATGTTTAATTTCAGTTCTCCCTTGGTCAAAGTCCAATTACGTCAAACTTCCCTGCTTTCCACTGAATTTTCTATTGAGACCTCTTAAAAAAGATTACCATGGTGATGACAACAAATAAAAAAAAAACATCTTTTAGCTGATTATTGAAGAAAAGACATAAAAATCAGTAGAGAAAGAGATTCATCGTCTAATACAATACAACATTTCTCTACTCTCAACAGTTACATTTTAGATGAAGTATTTTGATGATGACTAGATGACCTAATTATATTATAATATTTGACAGACTTTTTGTAAACTGAATGTTTTGTATAAATTTGTGTGAACATTTATCAAAATTCACATCAGATATAAAAATAGAAGATATTCACCTTTATTTTATATTACAGCTATAACTAACTGGTTACTGATGTTGGGCTATGATGTCAGAAGTCTGGCACCAGATATATCTTACAGTGGAGAGATTCGTCCTAAAGAAAAACAAAACCAACATGTCCTTCTACCAATGTCCTCTGCATTTGAGTGCACATTCTTACGTGACATGGATAGTCTTATAACAATGACAAATGTCCCTAAATCTAAAGTTTCCCCGTTACAGGAATCGGGAGATTTAGAGCCTGCTCCGTTACCATTTATTTTTGGGAATGGTGTGATGCTATCTTACCATGATGGTAAAGCTGTTGTGACTTTAAGTGATGATACACCCATGTGGGCGAGACAGTTAGCACTAGTGTTAGTGAATTCATCGCAGATCGTTAATTTACGATTTAATATAAAAGGAAAAGATACACACTATTTAATCAAACCTGATCATGCTCAGGCAGACATTGATTTAAATACTCTAGGTATCAAAAGTGATGTTGTACTTTTTGAAAACAATATAAATGTGACTGTTCATCGTAATAAACATGTAGATTTCCGACAAAATCCTAATCCAGAGACAGACATTCGCCTGAGAGGCAAACATTCTGTGATCAATATCAGATACGGCACAACTATAGATAAAGAGAGAAAAAGACTCTTAAAACATGCGAAAGAAAGGGCAGTAACACATGCCTGGGCAAGAGAAAAATGGATTTTGCAAAATAATTTAAAATCCAAACATCAGTGGACGGAGGAAGAGAAACAGAGTATATTAAACTTTGGATTTGCTCGTGGATACGAGGGACATTTTATCCGTAGATCAGAGGAATTCCCTGATCTGTCAGATGACTGTAATAATATCAGATTTGTAAAGAGCAATAGATAACATAAACATGGGTAATACTGGGCATGTGCAACATGATACAATCTGACCAAGGCTGAGATTTATATTGCTCAACTTAATTAGTGATCTGTGTAGAATGCAATTAGATGGTACAATTTGTACCAACTTCATGAAATTTGATAGAAAGTAACAGTGAAATGTCTAAAATGGGAGAAAAAATCTCATATACAGTGAAAAAGGGGGGAAATAGTTTATTTAATAATGGTTGTTGGTGCTAAGTGTGGTCATTTTAAACTTGGAAATTTGAACCAGTCTGTGAAACAACTAAAGACAATACTGATAAACTTCCAAGTCATAAGGATATCTCTCAAGATTATAATACAAAGACGTCAATATCTGGCCAAAGAGAAATATGTCAATACAGAAAATAATCTGTTTCAAAATATGTTAATACCACATTTTATAAACCATTTGTTAATCATTACAACATATTAACAAGACAACATTTGATTAACTTATAGTAACAAAAATACAGACAATGATTAATGAGGAATCTAGAAAGGAAATGTTTTCATTTTGTTCTTTAACTTAAAAAAAAACTTGGTTTCAATGTTGATGTTCTGGTTCAAATTTTCCTTGTCTACATTAAGTGTTTGTGAAATCAAAAATGATTTATATGTGAAATATATATAATTGTGTGACAAAGTAGGTGTAATATATTTATTGGTGTAAATATGTATAGTTATTTGCTGAATGCTATATAATCATACATACATATTGTAATGATAGAACTCAAAAGTTCAAGATTTTTTTTTTATAATCATCATTTAAAAATGCAATGTTAATGTTAATTTAATGTATATGCTAACTGAAACCAAGGTTAATTAAGATGTGGACTTCAACATAGGCAACTGATTAAAGTTAACATGAAACTAGAATTTCAATGTCATTTGAATTTTCAAGGACATTAAGTGACTTTTTGTCTGTTTATTTCCTGTTACTTTTTGTCTTAAAAACATGAATCAGAGGTTAGAGTTTGCATTAAACAATCATGCATTGACTTTGATTAAAAACAATGAAGTTTTCAGTATTATAAATCATTATATTGAAAAGAAAGAACATGATTTCACATTAAAAACATAGATTGTACAAACCTGAGCATTCAAATTTAAGCTCAACTCAGCTTTTTGTTCAGTTTGTTTTGAAATTGGAATAAGATTATTATATTTGTTTCAAAAGTAGATTAAGAGAAGAAGAAAACAGTTTAACACATTACTTCTTTTTTTAAGAATTTAATGCAAATTTTAACTTTTTTATGCATGTTACTCCATGAACAAAATTTAACTTGACTAAGATTTTTAGAAAACTAGTAGTGCTATTTTTTACACAATGACAGGTCATATTTTTTATTCTGTTTGTTTTATAACCTATTGATTTTAAAACTAGTGTTACTAAAAAATCGATTGTTAAATTTAAATATTCTGGATCCAATTTGTGGCTTTGGAAATTTAAATGTTTATCTATAAATTATAAATTTAAAACCTTTAAATGTTATACTGCACCATTTATACAGTATCAGGTTACTTTACAGTTTACAAGGTTAAAAATACACATCCTATTATACATACTTGACATATTTGTAAAAGCTCTGTAATATATCTCATATTGTCCCGATTGAACTTCAAATATCATTAGAAATTTAGTGCATCTAAAACTTAATAAAAGAGAAAAAGTTGATGAACTAACAAGTGATATTTCTCTTTAACTTTTTATGTGCCATCGAAGTGCGTTTAAGTACTGGTATTGTAAAGCAATCTTGAAATAGTGATTAAAAAATTTGCCTGATGTGAACTATATGTATATGTGTGACATATCAGGCTGGTGTCTATAAATATTTATCTGTGTATTGTGTGCCAAACATAATTATATTGTTATTACTATTTGCAATAATTCTATGCTAGTCCCATAGTTATCTCCCCTTTATTCTTCACTAGAAAATTATTCCATAGTGATGTCAGGTTATTGGAGGGGATTTCATGAAGTAAGATGAAAACATTTAAAATAATTTAAAGAATAACAGATTGTTAAGTATTATAGTGTAAACATAAGTAAACGTTCCTTCGGATGCCTTCATATTTCTTGAATAGACCCCTTTGTGTCTTCTTTAATGTTTCCATAATATTTCAGCTTAGTATGTGTAAATGAGATGAAGTAAGTTCATCCGATTAAAAAATGCATATGTGGAGTAGTTAGATGTTTTGTATAAACCCAGATTCATATATAATTACATTGATCTTTGCAAGTTAAACAATTTTACACTAGATCTACGTAGTATTTTTCTTTGTTTATTTTGTTTAAGTTTTTACCTATGCAATGTGAAACAACTTCAGCATTTCCCTAACAGTGCAATATTTTGTTGTTTTTAGACAATATTTTTAAAAGTGTTTTCTTCTCAATAACCATGATAACATTAATTCATGCTTATTTCTATAACTCCATTCAAAAACAGAGTAGACAGCTATGAAAACCATACATGACATTCAAATTTCTTTGAAAACTTTAATTACCAATGAAACGGCTGGATTGTGTTGTTTCTAGTACAGAAGAATTTAACAAATCTAAAGATTTTTTGGAGATTTCAGAAAATATAATTTCTTTCATTGTTTCTTACTTCAAAAACTGACTTTATTATTAAATTTGAAGATAACGCACCAGTGAAATGCTTACATTACATATTTCATACAGTCAATACACACACTATCATGGCGGATTATTAATTTATAGATTTATGACAATCAAAACAATAAGCTTATTCTCTACTTAACATTTCAGTTAAGACATATGTTTAAATACTTTCTGTAATGTTGTAGAGTAGAAATGAAATGCATGTTACATATTCATTCCTCATTATAATATGCAAATTACCAAGTGGAGATAACTCTTGCTATAGGTAAAAGTGTTTAAAATACATTTTGTCATTCATTATTCATTACTTACAATTAGATCATGAGAATCATTATGTCATATTGTACTGTTGCAAAATGATAAAAACATTTTTATTTCTAAAATGTAAATTGAAAAAATAAAAACTATAGGAACAAAGTTTCAATTTATTCATATGCCATTTGACTGATTTGAATTTGACAGTCTTAGTGATGTAATGGCTGTGGAACTCTTTTGGTCTAAAAGGCGGTCATTTGGTCCCTTTCAATGAAAACTACAATTTACTGGAATTATTATTGTTATCTTGACAACAACTTTTATAAGGAATGTGCCTGGATGGGGCAACCTTTCATCTGGTTGATATAAGTTTGTGGCAGGGCAGTTGAGTTTGAAAAATTTAATTTGACATGGTAATCTTGTTTATTGCTGTATTCATTCACATTTCTGTAATTGAAAGTGAATGTAGTTAAGTATGAATGGTTGGACAACTAAGCACTTTGCATTAAGTCATTCAAAGACCCAAACAGCAAGCAAATCATACTGTTGAAATTACATGATATATGGTAGTCTAAGAATAGATATACAGGACAAAAAATGCTAACTCTGCTTGATAAAAGTGCTTGATTGGATGTTTACTGATATTTCAGTCTGGTTAACATGATTTATTGATAAGTTGTAATTGGCTTTAAACTTGCTTTCAGTAACTTCTAGTACTCTTAAAGTGGTACATTGTGTCTTATTTTTGTGTTATTTGTTTTCTGTTCTTTGTGCCCATCCGATGGGTTAAGCCCCTTTCAACTGATTTTGTCTCGCCTCGCAGAATTAAAGACATAGGGATTACAATCTGGCAGCGGGGTGTAAACCATTTGTATAAAGCTTTGTATTTAAGAGTATAGAAGACTTAAATAATTCATACCTTGTATACAGATGTGTTATGTTACTTAGGCAATGTTTGTTGTAAGACCATTGTCCATGACATCAATTTCATGGTTCAGAGACTGCATTGAAAAACTGTTCAGTTTATTGTCATTTGAATTTCTCACTTGTTATGAGTAATATGTTAACTATATTTGGTAGAGTAGATCCTTGCAACGTCTACATGACAGACAGGATTCACCTTACCTTGACCTCATTTTATAGACCAGTGATCAATTAAGGTTAAATTTTCATGGTCAAGTTGCGTGTCGAAAAATATTCCACAGACGGGTAAGCTTGGATATCTGGAGGTATGGTAATCCAAGAAATGATGGTGGCTGGTATATATATAGTTGAAACAGTGCAGTTTGGTTCTTGTCTGTTTGATGTTGTTGATTAGGCAAGTTAAATTTATGTAATACTTCTTGTATAACCTTTCTCGAAGACTTTCAACTTAAATTTATTCATGATCAGTACACAGACGAGACATTTCAGCGTGTGCAAATTTCTATCATTTTGTTCCCAAACTGTACGTAGTGCTGTTACACCACTGACCACAGGTTATTGGATGGTTGAGCAGTCGGAAACATGTTTAACCCTGCCACATTCTCAGGAACCTATAATTCAGTGTATGTCATTGGTGATATCACATTGGATTTTTTTGTTTGAATTGTTTCATTCATCGTCATGTCCAGGTCTTTTATAAGAATGTAGGACAGAAAGTCGCAGGACAAATAGTAACAATTTAGTTAAGAGATTTTTTTGTTCTTTGAATAAGAAAACATATATTTGTAAAAACATTTTTAATCCTCCTCATGGGGTTTTTGAGTATGCGATTACTTGGCCGTTTTTATAGTGATTATTTGATTACCAGACCAAATATTTCATGATAATTTGATAATCTAGGACTGTATTTTTGATTATTTGATTATCTTGTATAAAAAAATAATTAATGATTATGTGATTATATTGGCAAAAAACTTGTGATTATGTGATTACTTGGACACCCCCATGAGGGGCCTCATTTTTGTATTTTTCTTGAACTATTATACATAAGGCAGCTTAGTAAACAAAATTTATTCTAAAAAAATCAATAATGATAAAAATAATTGTTGTCAAAGTGGCTTGGGACTTAAATGACTTCATGGTGCCAATACATATATCCTTTGCGTGCTTAAAATTTGATAAATCTTCATTAATCAAGGATGAACAATTTCATAAACTGTAAAATGAATATATGCAATAAAAAGAAATTATTTCAAGAACTATTTCTTATGTATTCAAACAATTATAAACAAATTATATGTGACTTTCTTGTCCTGTGACGTTTTGTACTGTGACTTTCTGTTCGTTTACCTTTTATAACTTGCTATGCGGTATGGGTTTTGTTCGTTGTTGCAGGCCGTACGGTGACCTATAGTTGATAACATCCACGTTACATTGACTCCTGGTAGGTACTTGTCTCACTGGAAATCATTCCATTTAAAAACGTCTGAGTGCATATATCGATCAGGGTTTCAGCATTTATGTGTAATGCAAATGCCAAGAACATAAACGTATTACCATATATCTAGGACTGTTGTACTAACAATATATTATTTCCCTGCATATACGAATATTGTTGGCTTTCGAATTTAAAGGTATACAAAACAGGATTGTGTTTATCACACGGGATAATTGTGTTATATGGTGTACATGATATAACAGCCATGCAATACATATTATGTAACATCTGGGAACAGTATACTGTCAAGTTATTATGTCGTAATATCGATATCAGATGATCAAAACACCAGTATCAACAACTAAATATGTCACCATGGAAATAAAATGAATATTATACAATATAATACTTCTATGATGTGATCAAAGGTTATACAACGTGTATTTATAACAGAACATCTATGCAAGTAATAAATTGCAACAAAACTTATACCTAAGTCTTTTAGTAACATCTTACAAACAAATTAAGGATTTATTTTAGTATTTTGTGTCGCTGGATTTTTAACTTATATATATGTTGCAGGCATTTTGTAAAATTACAGAATTTTCTAGCAATTTATAAAATGCCTAACTTTGATAGGCATTATATTAGATGCAAAATATAAAATACCTAGTCATTTTGCATAATGACTGAAATTTTGAAACAAAATTCAACAAATTGCCTGTTAAGTTTTATCTGGTACATAATATTTTGACGTAAATTCGTTAGTATAATAGTCCCAGGTTTTATAGGTTATTTGTAGAAAAAATAACCATTGAGATACATACGTGGTTGTATGACAAAAAACACCAT